GGGGGCGAAAACGGAGACAGTGGAGAAATAGGAGAGGAGTGCGGTATGACCAATGGACGCTGAACGGAGGACTGCAGCTGGGATAAGTAGGTGTGCAGGGAGGGAGTGTGAGAACGATGAAGTGCGGCGCAGAGAACACGGGGGGAGTGCGAAGTACGGGGAGAGCTGTAGTGAGATGGAGAGAGGATGGTGAGGAAAGAGAACGCCGACAAGGGGCGAGAGAGAGAGACGGGAGGTGGAATCGAGATCCCCGTCGGTGCCTTTGTGGAGATGTGTGTGTATAGGTTACCCACGCACACACGCGGGCGCGCGCGCGCGCGCGCGCGAGAGAGAGAGAGAGAGAGAGAGAGAGAGAGAGAGAGAGAGTTGTAGCAGTGGTGGAGTCTGATCTCTAGAGGCATGAAGAAGGCAAAGAGCCATTGCTAGTCATGGAGGAGTATTGCTGATTGCGATACGTAGTGATCAATACCAATTGGAGGCGGACATCCATATCATGTGTACATGTTAACTCATGATGGTAATGTGTATGCCACTATTTTTTTTTTTTTTTTTATGCCACTAAATATTTGATTGTGTTACTAATTATTACATTCATTATTATATTTACTGATTGGTGCTGTATTATGATTTTAGTTCGAGAATACGCCCCTCATGATCTGACAGTTAATTGGTTGCACGAGCGCACGAATCCGCCCCGCATGTCTCAAGGAGGGGAGATCAGTCTCTGCTCTGGCAAAGAGAGACTGGAGAGTACCTATAAAGCTTACAGGGCCTCTTAAAAAAAAACACGCATGGAACGAAAATGCGATTTAGGAGCAATGGGAGGGGGAAAAAATAGAGACCGCTTTATGTTTAGGCAATTTTTTTTTTATTTTTAAGTACGTTAGGATGTCCTCAAGTGTTTGGCTGTTTTTTTTTTTTAATTGAAGGGCGACGGGGAAGTGCTTGACTGCGTTCTTACGTGGCATGGAAGTATATTTATGTCTATGTATACATATGCGGGTAGGGTTATAATAATGCATATTCATTTATATTGCATCTACATGCATAAGTTTTACCGATGCTTGGTCTATGGCAATGTTTACTTTTATGGTAGATGGGTCTTTTTTTTTTTCATTCTCACTGGCCATATTTAGTTTTTTTTTTTTTTTTGCCCCACACACGGCCAATCATGTTTAACGTCAGTGTTTTGGTCTTGTTATGTTTATTACATCCTGATTAATCAGTGCCGCCACAAGTGTCTGTCTGTAATCCATAGTATCTTGACAATAACCTTATTCAACGGACACCGTGAAGGCCTGATACCCTGAAGAACTGCATGGACGTATAGACGCGTCAGCGAGTATTTATCAGTTTACTATATCCGTAATCATGTTTTTCGATTTTTTTTAATGGTACATATATAGTCGTTTAAGAGCTGCGCTGTGAAATGTAGGTATAATGTATGTGTATATATCGATAATGGCCTTCATTATCGGAAGCTGTGAATGTTGCTTATACCTGGAAGAAAAAGATTGGCTTGATCAAGGAAGGAACGATGCACCTTCGTTGAAGTTTCGCTGACTATCATTTCGTCAGTACCGACATGATACGTGTGTATCGACAATCATGCATGCATACTGGTATGCGCATATGTGTGTGTGTGTGTGTGTGTGTGTGTGTGTGTGAGAGAGAGAGAGAGAGAGAGAGAGTAGTGGTGAAACCTGGAAGAAGAGATTGGGGTGATCAAGGAAGGAACGGTGCACCTTCGTTGAAGTTTCTCTGACTATCAGTTCGTCGGTACGGACGTGATACGTGTCTGAATCGGCATTCATGCATGCACACTGATATGTGTGTGTGTGTGTGTGAGTGAATATATTGTCATAGTCATCAATCTATATTGTGGCATATTGTCAAAGCTATATTGATATGTATGTACATGTTGGCACTTGTCAGAGAGGTTAATATATACGTCTATATATATCGTCACAAAGATATCAGAGCGCAAAAGCGAAAAAAAAACAGAAGGAAACAAGAAAGATGTCAATTCATTTTTTAATCTTTTTATTTGTGAAAGTGAACATTGGCAGTTCATGCATTTACTTCGTGATATGTTGTCAATGACTATATATCGTCATCGAGAACTGGCTCTTGAACCGTAGGGCGTAGATAAAGAAGAGGGCAACGAACGACGGGATGTGGCAGACTGTTTCGACGGAGTTTCATCGACTGGCTCGTCAGGAGGCTGAACCCTCTGCAGTCTGCAGAGTCCCCTAACCAGTGATACCATAAGTGTTCATCCACCTTAACCCCAGTTGTCATTAAGCATCAAAGACTGCGCGGCAACTGATTGGGTCATCAGGAGGCTGCACCCTCTGCAGTCTGCAGAGTCCCCTAGCCAATGATACCATAAGTGATCACCCACCTTAACCCCCCCATAAATTGTTCGGTCATCAAGGACTGCCCGACAATTTATACCGATATAGGGATTGAGTTCTTTTCTTGAAAAGGATTCAATTCTGAGTCTGCTCAGGGAGCTGCTACACTCTAGCAGCCAAGCCCAGTGTTCCCTCTCTAACGATAAAGAAATGATTTTATATAATGACTATATACAATGATTATAAAATGACTATATGTGTGATGAACAGGTGGGGCTTTCCTTCCTTTTTCTTCTTCTTC